CTTTTTGTTTTTGTTAAAACATACTGGGAGAAACGAAAAAGAAAAGAAAAGTTGGAAATCCATACACCTTTCAAAAGTTGGAAATTGAAGCAATATTTAGAACCATGGATGAGGAAAACACCGCTTACGGCATTGGTGTAATATACACAATGTACTTCTCTCTTTTAATCTGTAATGTACATCAAATACTTTACAACGATGCATTAACAAAAGGCAAGAAACATCTTGCTGTACAGAGGAACCCCAATGCAACTGGAAGCCTAGAGTCACAACAGATGAAGAGATCAAACAAGGTGTGAGAAGCCGTCCCCCCTACAGTGTGTAAACGATGCTGTGTCTTGTGCTTAACACCCCAGCCACCTCCTGTGCCTCCCCTGCTCTCCCTGCCTCCACACCCACCATAAAGCACGTGCCACTCCCTACAGCTCAAACTGGACCGCCCTGGCCAGACGCGGCTCACTGGCTGCTCTCTATGGACTCCCGGGTGAACTACTTCCAGTTCACGGAGCTAGCGCTTCCAGATGGCTCATCGGATCAGCTTACTGGTTATCACCGCCTTCCTACGGGACAGGCTCTGACAAACTAAATTTGCAGGGAAAAAAAGAAATGTCTGGTGATATGCATGCACATGCATGGCTCCCGGGGCGCTGCAGCCTGCCAGCCCCTTGCGCCTCACACCCACGAGTCAGGGGATGCAGGGTAGTGGCTCGTCTCATAGTTCAGTTCGCTGTAGGGACGGGCAGCCGAGTAGAAGTCGACGTAGTTGCCGGTGGACTTGAGTCCCAGGTGCATGGTATACTCGCTGGTGGGAGGGCGATGGTGGACTTGGTCCTCAAAGAAGGACTCGTCGTAATTTCTCGTGGAATTCTGGAAAGGCTGGTAGGGCTCGTACTCTTTTCTGCTGGGCTCCTGTGGGACTGGCTGGGCAGAAACCTGCAAAGCAGAGAACACGCGGGTGAGTTTGCGTTCCCTGGGAGCAGCCTCCCTAACTGCAGCCAAGCACTCATCTTTCCTCTCCAGCTGACCCCCAAGTCACCACTCTGGTGCTGCTCAGAACACTGCCAACTGCTCATTGGCTTTGTGTCGATCATTCTAGGTCATCCTTCTGACTAACGACAGTGGGCGAGGAGCTAGGGAACACAGTGGTGTATTATCGACGCCCCTGCACCTCCAGTATTCTCCAGAGGTGCTATCATCCCAGACAAAGAGACAATGAAGATATACAAGGTCGCATGGTCAGCCAGGCACCTAATTGCCCCTCCAGAGGGCTGGGGCCACTATGTCTCCAATCTGCTCCTGGGGAATGAGGTCACTCCAGCACACCTACTCAAGGGACCACGTACCAGAGTCCTAGACAGATGTACTGCTTAGAAGAAGAGAGAGTCCAGTCAAAACCCTCTGTGCTCTGGGAAAGCAAGTGTTTTCAAACCTGATTCAATTAAGGTCTGACTGTGATGATAACGTCTTGGTTGATGGATGTCAAGGGCTCTTTAGAAGTAAGTATCTGGGAGAAAGACAAGGCTTTCCACTCCCATTAAGAGTTACAGTCTCTGATATTCACAGGGGGAGGTCGACCCTGTCCTACCGGGTCCCAGTGAGTCAACATCGACTTGATGGCAGTGAGTGTGTCTAAGCCAACCTCAACAATCCCTGCTTCCACCGTGACTCTCTGATGGCTACTGTCTGACATGAGATCCCTGGAGCGTTAAGTAGACCCTAGGAACCTTTGAGTTATAGGAACTCAAGAACTCCTTCTCGCAGCTTGGCTTTAAAGGAGTCCTGTTGAAAGACCTCAGCTGGTGAAGCTGCTAACCAGACGTGGGTGGTTCCAACCCCCTGCTGAATTATGGGAGGAAGGTGGCAGCCTGATTCCATAAAGATTACAGCCCTGGAAACCCTTTGGGGTAACCCTATTGGGTTACGATGATTTGGAATCCCTTCATGGTGTGGCCTTGGGTTGCTTGGCATTAAGGGATGGCAAGGAGATGGTCATGGCTCAGGGTGCTTATATATTTATTAGCAGTCATAGCTGAGAGCCCAGCTCTCCCCTTCTCCTCCAGTTCCCTGTGGGGGTCCCCACCCAGGCACCCTGGTCATGCAGTGAACAGACCTCTTCACGCGTGGGATGAGGCCAGTCACATGGAGATGGCAAATGTGTGCTAATCGTGGAGGAGGTCTGTTCTGAATGAGAAACCCCCTCTGAACACGGTCTGATTACTTTCCTAGATTCAGTAATTCCTGATTAATTTAACTAAACAGCCTGGGCAATTCCTGTAGAAATTGGTCTTAGTTAATGGGTAATGATTTGTAATTAGCACGTCATGTTGTAAATGAATGCTTCTAGTGGCCTGCACATAATTCTTCTCTTGAGCACGGGAGACTCCCTCCCCGTATATGTCATTGATTTATACCAGGAATCGACCTGTTCAAAGAAGTGGTGAACTTCATCATAGCTGCTGTCCAGTATGCCTCTTGCTCCTAGTTAGTAGCTCTGAATGAATAAGCTTTCTTTCTACCTGGGAAAATCCTCAGCACTTAGACATCTGTTGGCCTAAGAGCCTGGGGACCAGGAATTTGTGGGATTCTGTGTGTCCATGTTGCGAGGATCACATCTACCAAACCACATGGATGGTAGAGGTCTTCTCTGAATGGTCATGTGCTATGTCTACCATTTCTCTCCTCCAAGACTGCACTGCTACCCAAGTGCAAGGACTCCAAAGGGTGGGAAGTGAAACAGGCTCCACTGTGCTTCTGTTCCACTGGGCACTATGTTCAACATTGGATGCGTTCTTCTTAGTTTACCCATACATTCCTATGTACACATGTGCATGTCTGTCTCTCTCCTATGCCCCAGTCTCAGTCTGTGGTATGGGAATGGCCAGTGCAGTTGATATGATGGGACTGCGAAAAGGTCATGGAAAACCATGAGTAGGTGACCATCGTATAACCCAAATAACTATTTGGGGCTGTCTCCTGAACCTAAATTCAAGTCATCCTCAGCGGTACAGGGCAACCACAGCTGTGAGATGCCACAAAGCCCTGGGGTTGTTCACTTCCAACAGAGTGGGAATCCATGGGGAGAAAGTAGGTCTATGGAAATCGATGGCCTTCTCTCTCCCCAGGGACCTAACGATGAACCTTACAGTCCAGAAGTCTACTCTGGACAAGTGGCACTCAGAGCTGGATGGTGTGCTCCCGGGCCGTACAGAATTTCATCAGGAGGGACAGGTCCTTGGAGGAGGACATCAGACTTCATAAAGTAGGGCAGTGAAAAAGAGGAAGGCCCTGGACGAGATGGATGGACCCAGTGGCTGCCTCGATGGGCTCAGACATAAGAACAATTGTGAGGATGGATGGGACAGGACCGCGCAGTGATTTATCCTGTTGTATAAAGGGTGGTGATGAGACAAAACCAGCTTGATGGCACCCAACGTCAACCACCTGCTAATACCCATGACCTCTGTTGACCTGTGAGATATTTGGGACACTCCAGTGACCTGCTGTCTGTGGCTCATGACCCCGTTTATTTGTTCATTGGCAGCTTTGCTTTTGGCAAAGACCAGCGCTGAGTAGAGTCTGGCAAGGTGTCAGCAACGTGTCCAATGGGCAGGAGGGCCTGTGCATTCACCAGGGGGGTGAGAACGTTGCCTAGTGAGGCTGCATGTATGTTGGAAAATTGAAGAGAAAAAAACCTAACTCCTGTGTACATTTCTTCTGTTGGTGGTTGATTCAGCCCATTGCCACTGACTGACTTAACTCATGTTGTTGTTGCTGTCGTTCAGTACCAAGGAATCGGTTCCAACCGGCGCGAGCCTATGCACAACCGAACAAAACACTGCCTTGTCCTCTACATCCTTATGATGGGCCCTATGCTTGAGGCCACGGTTGCAGTTGCGGTGTCAATCCATCTCCTTGAGGGTCTTCCTCTTTATCACTGTCCCTCTCCTTTCCCAGGCATGATGGCCTTCTCTAGGGATTGGTGTCTCCTGACATCCTGTCCAAAGCATGTGATGAAGTCGTCCCCCCACCCCCACCCCCCGTGCTTGCCTCTGAGGACCCCTCTGGCTCTAGTCCTTTCAAGGCAGATTTGTTTGTCTTTAATGACAGGATTTGATTCAGATGACTGGATTCATATGGACCTCACATTGGGTTTCTGAGGCTAGAAAGCTTTACAGGAATAGACATCCTCTTCTTTCTCCCATGATGTGGCTGGTGGGTTTGAACCTCCAACTTTGAGGTTAGCAGCCCAACACTTGCCTGGCAGTGCCACCAGGGGTCCCTAAATGGTTGATTGAAAAACAACTTAAGGTTGAGGAGTCCCTTTGTGTCTCCCTCTCCCCCTCCTCCCCTTGGCACTGGCTGTGCAGAGAGGGCCTGCCCCGAACGAACAACGAACGAGGCGGCTACTCTCTGGAAGGGGATTCCCCTTCCTTTGCACAGACGCTTCCCTGCTGGGTTCTCAGACAATGTTCACGAACAGCAGGGTGCTCATGAAGATGACGTTTGCTATCTCATGGGTATGGGGATCAAGCCAACAGCTTTGGAGTGTTTCTCTCTGCGCTCCAACTATTGTGATGCCTGGCAGGAATGTAGAGATGGAGCAAACGCCAGTTCTGGCACAAGTTACAAAGTGAAATAGTGATCTGCGTTAATAATAACTCCCTCCCCTCCTTCCCAGCCACCACAAACCCTGTTGCTATAGAATCGATTGTAACTCATGGCAATCCTGGACAGACAGTAGAACCACCCCACAGGATCTCCAAGGTTGGAAATCCTTATGAGAACAGACTGTGTCCTAGCGGATGGTGGGTTCAAACCATTGACCTGTCAGTACGCAGTGGTGGTCTTCAACTGCCGTGCCACCAGGACTCTACATGATAATAGGGCTATGATAATACTAGTATGGATATTAAAGTATTATAGCACAGTCTAAGGAGCTCTGGTGGTACTGTGCATTAGGCATTGAGCTGCTAACCACAAAGCCAGCATTTCAAACCCACTGGCTGTTGGAAACCCTATGTAGCGTTGCTATGAGTCTGAATCAACTCAATGACATTTAGGTAACAGCATACTCTATAATATAATCTGTCTCTGAAGAAGTACAGCCAGAAGGCACCTTAGAATCGAGGAGATACTTTTGACATGTCATTAGGAGAACCAGGCCCTGGAGGATATCCTGCTTGGTTACACAGAGGTGAGTTGAGAAGAGGGTTTATGGAAGATCTGTCCTTAATGAGGCGCAGTCACACAGTGAGGGTGGCAATGGGCTCAAATGAGATAATGACGGTGAGGATGGCACAGGACTGAATACATCTTTACTATAAAATCAAAACCAAGGCAAACTCACTGCCATCGAGTCATTTCTGGCTCATAGCGACCCTATAGGACAGAGTAGAACTGCCTGCTGTGTTTGTGAGGCTGTCATTCATTTTGGTCATTTTATTGGGGACTCTTACAACTCTTGATACAATCCATTCATCGATTGCATCAGGCATGTTTGGACATATGTTGCCTTCATTCATTTCTAGACATTTATTTGCTATTGAGCCCTTGGTATCAGCTCCTCTTTTTTCCCCCCTCTCTCCTGCCCCCTCATGCCCCTTGATAGATTATAAATGATCATTTTCATATCTTACATTGACCACTGTCTCCATTCCCCTGTGTTTTCTATTGTTCTTCCCCCTGAAGAGGGGTGTATGGTTATGTGTCCATCCTTGCAATTGGTTCCCCCTTTCTCCCTTCCTCTCCCCACCTTCTCCCTACCCTTCTGGTATCACTATTCCCACCCCTGTTCCTGGATTCCATGTGTCATGAGCCCCAATCTCTTATCTATACCTGTGTACATGCTCCAGTCTAGCCTGAATTGAGAAGCCGCACTAGGGTCGTGATAGTGGGGGCTGAGACTGTACTTCTTTATGGGAGCAGAGATCCTCATGTATCTCCCATGGAGCAGCTGGGGGCTTCGAACTGCTGACCTTGTGGTTAGCAGTCCAACTTGTGCTCTGTTACAGAAGGACCTAAGGTTGCTATGTGTAGGAATCTACTCTAAGGTAGGCGCCTGCCACCAACCACTTAGTGCAATGGTTCTCAACCTTCCTAATGCCATCGTGACCCTTTAATACAGTTCCTCATGTTGTGGTGACTCCACAACCATAAAATTATTTTTGTTGCTACTTCATAACTAATTTTGTTATCTGGCGGCCCTGTGAAAGGGTCGTTCGACCCCCAAAGGGGTCGAGACCCACGGGTTGAGAAGCGCTGACTTAGTGTAATCTGACAATGAAACTACAGTCATTCCAAGGTCACCATACGATGGGCAGAGCTCACAGTCATTGTCAGGGCTGAGTCTGGGATGACCGTCACCAGAGAGAAAAGTATGAAGCTGCCCCATCAATGCCGGCTCAGATGCCGGGTGTCCCTTCACGCACCCACGTCCCACAGTCACCCAGAGAACAAGCCTTTGAGGAACAGGTGCGAAGAAAACTGACAGGAAAACACAGATGCGTTCTGGAAGTCTCCTGGACTCAGGGCTCCTGAAATGTGACCGTGTAGCCAAGTCACCTGGGTGTCCTGGGGAATGCGATCTGACCCAGGTGGGCTGGGGAAGCATCTCACCTGCATTTCTAACCAGCTGCTGGGCGTGCAATGCTTCAGGTGCCACACACCAACTGGGTCTTGTAGGGCGCTCCTGAGTATGTACTTTCTATTTAGTTGTTTATATTGAACTTGCTGCCTCCACTTTATTGGAAACGGTGATGTCGGATTCATGCTTCCTTCCTAAGGAAGAATTGGCTGGCTCGTAGCAGTGACCTCATCCCTGTCTAGCAATGATCAGAGTAGCACCTACAATGGACACTGGTCTATTTGGACCCTGTTTTTTAGCCTGGTGGTGTCGTGGTTACGAGCGGGCTGCTAACTGCAAGGTCAGTAGTTTGAAACCACCAGCTGCTCCATGGGAGAAAGAAGGGGCTTTCTACTTAAAGAGTTTCAGTCTCAGAAATTCACAGGGGCCAGTTCTACCCCGTCTATAGTGTCGCTATGAATCAGTATCTACTACGCTATGACAGTGGGATGAGTTCTGCACCATGGTTGGAAAGCTGCGTACGCCCACCAGAAAGAAACGTGAAGTGGTCGTGCAGCCAAGGGCCGCATTTAAATGTGTGGTTGTTCTATCAACCAGCGGCACCACGTGACCGACCCCGTGAGGGTTCCACGTATGGGATGGGGAAGGTCAAGGAACATGGTCTTTTCCATTTCCTCCCCTATGTGTCAAGCAGCCACTTGGTGGCCTGTCGTTTGCTGCTTCTGTTATTCCTCTTCCAATTCCCAGCGAGCCCAGCACAACAGAAGGAAACGCTGGCTGGTCCTGCACATCCTCACCGGCACTGCTACGTTTGCGCCCGTGGTTGCAGCCACTGTGGCCGCCCATATCATGTAGGCTCTTCCTCTTTTTCAGTGATCCTCTACCTAGCATGGTGTCTTTTTCTAGAGAAGTGCTCCTCCTGATTGCTGCCTGAAACCAAATCCACTGCCACAGCTTCTACTCTAACATCTGGTGATCCAACGTCGGGTTTCCGAGACTGACGGTCTTCCTGGTCTCGTCTTTCTCCCGCAGAGCACTGGCGGGCTGCAATGCTGACCTTGCGGTTAGCAGCCGAATGGCACCCAACAATTCCTCCTCGGTGCCCTTTCACCTGTTATCTAACAATGGAAATGTTTCCTTATCCAAGCACCATTCCGCCATATAAATAAGGAAGCTCACAGGAGAAGTGAGGCATTTAAATCTTGGTGCTGGCAAAGAGCATTGTAAGCATTATGGATAATAAACATATTTGTCTTGAAAGTACGGCCACAATGCTTCTTGGAAGCAGGGATGGCGGGCTTTTGTCTCACATACTTTGGGCATGTGATCGGAGAGACCAGTGCCTGGGAGAGGACATCATGCTTCATAAAGGGGAGGGTCAGCGCAGAAGAAGAAGAGCCTCAACAAGATGGGCTTGATGCAGTGTCTACAACAATGGGTTTAAACGTAATGCGGTAGTTATATAACTTCATGTCAACTTGAAGATCTATAAATGCGCAGGGGTGGAGTTTAGCCTGTAAATCGGGTCATAGCCTGATGGTAGCTCCTTGTGGGGGTGGCCTCCACATAAGGAGGGTCCTGGGAACCTCTCATCTCTCTTTGCCTTCACATTCGTGCTGGCTGACCCTGGTTGCTTCAAGCCCTGTGATGCGGCCACCACCACTGGATCCACACTTTGTACCCACCGGCCTGTGATCTTCCTGCATTCTGCATCATTGTGTGTGGCTGTGTGAGTCTGAAGAGGGACTTATGGACTGGTATGGGACTTATGGACCTGATCTGGACTGCGCTGGGATGTTTGCTTGATAGATCATTACTTTTTGGATATAAAGCTCTCTTATACATATATGTGTGCCACTGGATTTGTTTCTCTAGTCAACCCGGTCTAACACACATAACACCTGTGTGGATGGGGAATCACGGGGCAATGTTTTGTCCTGTTGGAAGCAGAGTCGCTGTGAGTTGGAACAGATTTGACCGCACCTAACAACAACAACAACAACTTCACTTTAGGGTCTCTTAAGTGGGAATCTCCTTGATAGCAATGGATTGGGTTTTGCTGTCAGGGGCAATAACAACTCAAAGACTTCAGCTTCCACTCACCCTGAGACCCCCACCCAGCTGACCATACACCTCCCTGCTCCCTCATAGCTCCATTTTACTGTGCAATCCTCTAATGGGTCCACCTTTTCCCCTGGGGCCTGGGAGTACTTCATTGTTTGTCTTTGGTCTTCCTGTGTGAATCTCACTTTCTCGTGAGGGGCCACTCTGACCACCCACAGACCCCACAGACCCCCTTAGGGTCCAAGTAAACACAGAGAGTTAGCCATTCCCTGAGCCTCGAACAAACACACATCTCCTGATGGGTCACGACGTCTTTACCTGGTTGTGTTTGATGTCTTCATTGGGCGCGCCATAGGAATTTCTATACAAAGTTGAGATTCCAGTATTTTGAGCTGAAAGCCAAAGGAAAAGGAGAGGATTAGCCAGAAAAGCAAGATTCCCAACAAGGAGTCAGGAATTTCGAGGGGTGGGGTCCTTGACCTCACCAAGCCGGGCTCCAGGTGGGCCATGTGGAGTGGAAAACCTTTCCCGGCCTGAGCCCTTCTGCTTTAGATACCAATCTGGAGAAAGAAGAACAGTTAGTTGACAAAGTCCCCACGGGGCGTCAGCCTCTGGCCATAATGCGCACAGGGTCAGGGCAGGTGCGGCCAGCAGATGGTAATCATACATGTTTTATTGCTGCTGACTACGGTGGAGGCTGGCGGGTAATCAAGGCTTGTCACCTGCACTGAAGCATGTGGGAATCTGTACCGGCAGCAGAGTGCTCAGCTGAGGGACGACAAGAATATATTTTCTAGCTGGAGCTCACGAAAGTGCTTCATTACCTCCCAGACAGTTCCCTGGCCCCAGGTCCCAAGGAGGAGCAGGACGACCCTACGAGACTCCCCTTTCTGTCTAGAGCAGTGGTTCCCAGCCTCCCTAATGCGGCGCCCGTCAGTACAGCTCCTCATGTTGGGGTGACCCCCAAACATAAAATTAGTTCCGTTGCTACTTCATAACCATAATGTTGCGACTGTTATGAATCGAGCGACCCCTATGAAAGGGTCGTTCGACCCCCAAAGGGGTTGCGGTGACCCACAGGTTGAGAACCACTGGTCTAAAGGCTGTGGCTTTAGAATCCTGCTAGGGAAAGAGACTTGAAAACACACACACACACACACACACACACACACACACACACACCCATGCTCCGCTTCTGACGAGCCCCTGGGCTGGTGGGAAGGAAGGGGAGAGGGGCCCTCCATTGGCCCACAGCTTCTATAGACCTGGGCACCACTCTTTTGCCCTTGAAGCTCAAGTGATCCAGCGCAGACCACCACTCCCCACACAGCTGCTAAAGGCCGTGGGTTGACGGAAGCTCTGTCATCGGGGTGTAAAGCACTCTAGAAACAAGAACGGATTCTATTTTGCATGATGTTATAAATATTCAAATGGGCCCTGGCAGAAAACATGGTGCCTAGCCCAGCCCTAGAGGCTTGGGAGAGCGCATGGCCCTGCCTGCACCCTGCATTCAGATTCCTGGCCTCCGGGACCGTGAGACATCACATTTCTGTTTTTCAATACACCACCGGTTGGCGCTCTTGGTAGGGAAGCTGTAAGGAAAGATCCTATTACCTACATGCACAGTTCAGGTAGCTGTGAACTGAAACTCCTGTTGGTAAACTTTGATTAGGAAGTGAGGGCTAGGAGGCCCTTTTCAATGAAACTCAACAAGACAAACACTACTCAGGTAGGCTCTCTGGTGTGACAGACACCCCTCCTGTGGTAGTGAGATATTATGTCAATGGGATGCTCCGGGCTACAGGTGGAATTCGAACTGTCAATCAAGTGGCAGCGTGATGTCACCTCCTTCAGAGTGTGGCCATCTGGATAAGAGCAAGACCCAGCTGAGATGATTCCTCTCTGCCACTTTGCTCGCCTCCTCGCTGGGACTCTGCGTCTGCCTCCAGGGGCGGTGCCATCAGGGCTGCCCAACTTGAGAGCTGCCTCTGGGTCCCTGCCACGTTTGCTCACACAGACCTTGGAGCCCTGCGAGTCTGCATCCACCTGCCTGTGATCTTCCTGCGTCACCTTTCTGAGTCATTGCCCTGGCTGGCATCGGACCCACTGCCTTCAGTTGGACAAGGGGCCCCTTGTTAACATAAAGTCCTTTCTTGTTCATCGATGGGTGTCACTGCTGTGCATTCTCTCGACAACCCAGCCTAACACACGTTCTGTCTCTGTG